CTGCTGCTTCTGGCCAGGGAATTGCAACGCGCTCGCATTTTTCGGGTGCGGCGGAGGGCCCTTCTTGCCGTTCTCGGGGGCGGGGCGGCTGTCAGCGGTGGCCCTCCTTTTGCGCGTGGCGGCCTGGCGTTCTGGCTTCCTCTCGGGGGTGCGGTCGTCCTCCCGCCCGTCCTCATCAGAGCCGCCATCCTCGTCCAAGTCGTGGCCGTCCGAGGCCGCGTCGCCCTCCTTCTCGTTGCTGACAGCAGCTGGCCTTTCCTGGCCACTGAAGCGCCCCCGCCCTTCACCATGTCCGCGAATTTGTTCCTCATGTTGGTGGCTGTCGAAGCCTGGCCCCCACCCTGGCCCTCCAGGGCCAGGGCGCCATCGCCAGGCGAACCGCGCGGGCCCGCGCCCACGTCGGTCGGCGCGGGCGCAGGCGAGGCCGCGCTCAACGCAGGCGAAGCCGCGTGCGCTGGCGAAGCCCCCGAAGTAACTGGCACTATAGATTGTTCTGCGGTTCGCGGCCGCTCGAACACTTGAAGGCCGGGGGCGCGATCATATTGCGAGCCCTGTTGCGCGCTTCGCCATACGGCCTGCATCATCTGAGAGAACTGCGCCTGGGTCATGGGCGCGCTGCGCTGCGCGGCCCTCCCTTGGGCTCGCTGCGCTGCAAGTACCTTGGTAGTTCCACCCTTTGTGTTGCGACAAGTCAACAGGGCAGCAAGCATATGCAACGTGGCATCTGAGTACTTGGAAGGAACTGGGGGTTCGCCCCCGCAACAACTGCGGCACCACTCGGGGTAATGCTCCAAGAAATCTTTCGGCTCAGACGGGCACTCCGCAGGGTAGGCAACGTGCGTCGCCCGTTGTGGCCTCAGCCTCTGGAAGTGAAAGTCGAAGCGGTTCTTGGCGAGAAGGAGGGCGTCCGTGGTCAGCCCTGCCACGTCGGCATCTTGGCGCGCAGGCCTCACAAGGCAAAGCTGGCTGATCCGCGCCTTGGTCTTCTCTTCGGGGTGGTTGTCCCCCATGGCCACTGCCACTGCAGCCACCCTGGCTGCCTTGACTTCCAGTGGACCTCCCGCCAGGACAGTCCAGTCGGACTCGCGGAGGTATTTGTGGAAGTAGCGGTGAAGTTGCCACCGCCCGCTGCTGTCCGCACCACCTGCAAAAGAGTCGTTGGCGAGCTTTTTGTCGATTGCACCGCCGAGGTCCAATTTCAAGTCGGCACGCAAAGGCGACTTCGCGATGAGGTTGGTGAGTGCGGCCGAATCCTCCATCGACGCGCGTGCGGTCACGAGCTGCTTGCTGAAGGTGTTCGCCATGGCGTTGCAAGCGTTCGCGAACTCATCGCTGTCGAACCCCTGTGATTCACCCGCGCACTGCAAGTGCTCGGCCTGCGCCTGCAAGAAACTCACGAGCGCCATTGGCGGCAACTTGGCGGGTGAGCCTCGCCATCTACAAAGCAGACATCGCGCGGGTGAGCCCCGCAAGGACGGCGCGCGGGTGAGCCTCGCGCGCCCCGAGCCTCTCGATGTGATTCACAAGGGCGATGTAATCATGTAAATAATGACGATGCTGACTTCTGAGGCTTGTCCAGAAGAGAAGGTCATGGCATAAGCCGCCTCATTACTACCCTGCTCAGGGTGTGATCCAATATTTATGATATCAATATTCCAAGCCGCTCGAGGCGCAAAGTTCCTATGCCCCAGCGCCTCACTTTGCTTTGGGGCATGAGAACTGATATGGCTGCTGATGTTCCCTCCGTCGCCATCCCCTTTCCGTCGTCGTCGGTCGTCGTCGTCGTCGTCGGTCGGCGGTCGTCGGTCGTCGTCGTCGTCGCCGTCGTCGGGCGTCGTCGCCAATTAATTTCTCGCCCGCGGATCGGCGCCTTTTGGGCGCGAAAAGGTGGCTTGAAATACATGGGTGTTTTTCCCAAAAGAACGTCAACACATCCAACGCCAACGCATCCTCCTCCTCCTCCTCCTGCTCCTTCTGCTCCCACACACACACACACGCACGCACGCACACCACACACACACACACACACCACACACACACACACACACACACACACACACACACAACACACACACACACACACACACACACACACACACACACACACACACACACACACACACACACACCTCCCCCCCCCCCCCCCCCCCCCCCCCTCACCCCCCCCCCACCCCCCTCCTCCTCCTCGTCCTTCTCCTGCTCTTCGTCCTCCTCATCCCCCGCCTCCTCCTCCACCTCATCCTCCTTCTCCTCCTTTTCCTCTCCCTCCTCCTCTTTCTCCCTCTTCCTCCTCGTCGTCCTCCTCCTTCTCCTCCTTCTCCTCCTCCTCCTCGCCTCGTCCCATCCTCCGCCTCTCCTCCTCCTTCTCCTCCTACTCGCCCTCGTCCTCCTCCTCCTCCTCCCGTCGTCCCCCTCCTCCTCCTCCCCCTCCTCCTCCCCCCCCTCCTCCTCCTCCTCATCATCATCCTCCTCCTAACCTTTATCAATCGCCCTCTTCCTTCTCGCTCTACCTCCTCAACCCCGTCGAAGGAAGCGGGGGCGCGCGGGAGGAGGAGGTGGAGGAGGAAAAGGAGGCGGATGAGGAGGAGGAGGAAGAGGAGGAGGAGGATGATGAGGAGGAGGAGGAGGAGGAGGACGGGGGGGGGCAGGAGGAGGAGGAGGAGGAAGGGGAGGAGGCCCCGAGGGGCCCTTTCTGGGGCGGTCCAGGAGGAATGACGAGAGCAGGATGATGATGACGACGACGATGATGATGCGGATGATGATGATGATGCTGATGATGATGATGATGATGGCGATGGCGATGGCGATGGCGATGGTGACGATGACGAGGAGGGGGAGGAGGAGTGTGTTACGCGCGGGCACGGCCTCGCCTTGTAGATGTCACAGCGACCCCCACCACTCGCCAAACTTCTGCAAGACGTCGTCTTTGCTCTTGCAACCCTCTGCGCAATCAGCGCAACTCACGTGGCAGAAGCCTCTCGGCCAATGATTCGAAGAGAGGTGAACTGTCGGCGAAATCACCGCCTTCTTGCGGAGGACGTGGGTCATAATCCTACACATGCAAACGGACCTGTGCTTCCCTTTCAAGCAGAAGCACAATATCCGCACGCGCGGCTTCTTACTCCGCTCAAACTTCCACTTCGCGTCAACAAGCAGCCGCTGCATCTGTTGCAGTTCGCCGTGCCAAAAATCCAAGCCCCAACTGCGCGGTCGGGGGCAGGGGGGGCGAGGAGGGGGGGGAAGGGAGGGGCAGGCAAGTGCCAGAAGGGGGGTAAATGGGCATGTGGATCTTTGACACGCGAACAACCTTCGGGCGGGTGTACGAGGCCCACATGTTATGGCAGTTTTCGCCGCTGTGCCCGCACAGGCTGCCCGGGTCGGCATCGTAGAGCTTCGCCGCGTTAACGATGATGTCAACGGGCTCTTCCGACAACACCTCGTCGAGCTTGCGGTTGATTAGGCCCCCGAGCTTCTCCGTGTCGCCCCTGGGCCCCCTGTCGATGCCGAGGAACGCTAATCCGACAGAGAGCAGCTGAAGGTGCGGTTTCCGCCCCGTCTTCGGCGTCGCGCTTCGGTCGTCCTTCCCTGCCCCCGTGGAAGCTTCAGCGCCGGTGTCCCTGGCTGCAGGCCTCGGCGGCGGCGGGGGCAGCGGTGGCCTTGCTTTCTTGGCGAGTGGCCCTTGAGTGTCCTCGGGCGCAGGTGGCGACGTCGAGCTTGAACTCGACGAGCTGCTGTCCTCTGTCTGCGGATTTGCCACCGTCGCAGGCGGCCGCGGGTCTGGCGCAGGCATCAGTGTGCCGCTGGGGTACCCCATGACGGGCACGGCATAGTGGCACTGCATCATGGGCACGAGGGCTTGCTGCATAGGTACGTTCACGAGCCCTGGTGGCGTCACACTGTGTCCCCAAGACAGCTGGTTCGTCGGCATATGCCTTGGGGCTCTCTCGCTCCTGGCGGTGGCGCCGCTGCTGGTTCGGGGCGCCGGTCGCGCTGTCTGCGTGTCGGGCGCTCCTGTCTGTGACCTGCGGATGTACGCGAGGGCGAGGGCCTTGGCCTCCCTCGCCTTCTCGGGCGGCCCCGCGATGGTCAGCATGGGGGCGCTCTGGTTGTTCCTGCGCCCGCCGTCCGCCTTGCATTGGGTTTGCGCCTGGGGTCGCCCCAACGTGAACCGAAGTGCAATCGTTTGCTCGCTCGGGCAGCCCGGAGGGGCCCACCGCCCTCCTCGACGCCAGAGGACCGCCCGAGCGACGGAATCGTTGCACTTCGTGTTCCAGTTGGGCGCTCGTGCCTTGATCTCATCCTTCCAAGACTTGCACAGCGCGCCGCCGCCCTCGGGCAAAGGGGGCGGCCCGTAGTGGCAGTTGTCGCCGTCGCCCTCCGCCGCGGCCATCTGCGGGCGGGCGAGTCTCGCCGCAGACAGTGGCTGGCGCGATGCCAGCGGGTGAGCCTCGCCAGCAACGCTCGCGCTAGAGAGTGAGCAAGAGCCAAAACGACAGCTGCGCGCGCGAGCCTGGGCGCATTTCCGAGAGCGAGGAAACGGTATAACCAGTTATGAACACGCGTGACAAATTATGAAAATTTATGGGGGAGATATGAAGCGCACCAAACAGGTAATGACAAGTTAAGGATCAATCGGAAAGTTGCCAAACGTTACAAAAAGTTACCAATCGTTATAACATCATACGTGTGTTAGTAAATGTCGCGTAACCCACATCTCGCTATGGGAATGTTAGCTGCTTATAACTTCCATACAACAGGGTTGGGGACTCATAAAGGAGTTCGAGCCCAGTTGCATCACCACTATATTGTGGACACAGCTTCACAACCCTGAGACTTCGGAAGCGCCCCCCCCCGCCCCCCCGGGCCCAGGCGGATGACAGGGGGGGGGGGGGGGGGCAAGCAGGGGTCCTGCGGGAGGTCCCACCTTCAGGGTCGGCGGCGACGACGGGAAGCATTCACAATAATATACACTGTGCTTGGGTCGCCAGTTGCCACCGGACAAACATACCTGGAAGAAGGAAAAATGGCTCAAACCTGGATCTGCGCTGGACCCCCTTCCTGGCGCGCGGAGCGCGAGTGGGGCGGCGTCGGAGGCGCCGCCGGCGGGCCCCAGCGCGGATCGCAGAAATCCGCGCGAAGCGCCAAAAGTTTATGATGATGGCGTTTTTCCTTATGCTTCTGGCCCATATCTTCAGCTCGGCACAGGCTCGATTGTGATCTGCGCCGGCGCAGCCAGCCCGCGCCGCCCCACGGTTGCCGCGACGCCGCAGGGGAGAGGAACAAGTGTGCGCGCTGGCCCCCTTTCCCCCGAGATGCCGCTCACTCTTCGGGCGTTGTTGTTGTCGTTTTCTCGGGACGTCTTCCTCGCAAGCCTCCACAAAACAATAGCTGCTGGAGGAGGAGGAGGAGAAGAGAGGCGGCGGAGCGGGAAGGGCTGGCGCCTTGAATGCCAGCCGCGACTGCCACCGCCGCACCACCACTCCTCTGGTTGCGCAGGCAATCAGGACCAGCAGGCCTGCCAGCAAGGCTGGGTGCTGGTGCCAGATCCAGATGCCCGTCTCGCCCCATAGTGCGACCTTTATGCTGGCGGTGTCCGAGATGAAGTTGACGCGGGAGCAGTCGGCCTTCCAGGGCAAAGGGCTCATAAACGGCGTGCTGCTGCTCGCCTTCTCCAGCGCCAAGGCCGCCTACTGGTTGGTCAGCTCCCACGCTGTGCAGGTGCCGACCCGCTCCGGGTTGGTCTCGTCTGGCCAGTGGCCTATACCGGCGAAGTGCAGCATCAGTGGTGCGGTGTTGGTGATTGTGTTGCGCAGCATACCGTCCACAAGGACCAACTCCAGGTCGCACGGGTTGGCGCAGCGCGTATCGGCGTTGTAGAAGAGCTCGTGCCCGCTCCGCGCCTCCATCTCGAGGTAGCGGTCGACGACCTCCCGCTCCCGTGCCTGGAACGCGACGTCGAAGGCGTCGAAGAGAAGCACGAGGTCGTCCGGTTCGGTCTGGTTCAGCACGTAGCTCCGCCACTCGCTCGTTCGCGAGGGCGCTCAGACCGTAGGCCCACCTCGCTGGAATGCCGAAGCCCACGACGACGGGGAACATGCCGCGGCGCTGGGCCGAGACGAGCGCCAGCGTGATCCTCACGTCGACGCCGCTGGAGTACGTCACCAGGCGCACCCGGGGCCGCCGTGGCGCCGCCTTGCTCTCCGCGGCGCTCCCCGCGGGCCGCGCCTCGCCCGCGGCCGCGGGGAGGAGGCGCGCCGCCCAGCAGGCACCGCCCAGCAGCAGCGCGGCGCCCAGGCGCGCGCGCGCCGGCCGCGGCCCCATCGCTGGAGACGGCGGCCAGCTGCTACAGCGGCGCGCGCCTGCGACCTGCGGGCGGCCGCTGGCCGGCGGTGATCCCCGGCAGCGGCGCGGCGGCCTCCGCTTCGGTGGGCGCGCCGCTGCTGCGGGCGGCGCGCCGGCAGCGGCGGCCACTTCGCGCGCCCGCGCCCCTGGCCAGCCCGCACTCGTGCCGCCTGAGCGGCGCCAGTGGGATCACAACGCTTGGGTCTTGAGCCAAAGTGGCTACGGACTCTTCGGGCGTTGCTAGAAGTGCCCCTGGCCCAAGGTAACCCCCGGATCTCCAAGGAGGCTCCCACGGCCCCCATAGCACACCTCACGAGGCCCAGAGGGCCCCAGGGGCTCCAAGATGGAGCGAAACGCTGGGGGGCACCTCGGGCCAGGGGCACTCCTGGCAACACCAGAACCCTGCGCCCGCCTCCCCCAAAAAACGAAAGTGATAGGGGGGACCGGCCCCGGGGGAGGGGAACATCGGCCTGGAATCGGCGGTGCACCGCCAATGGATCGGCGATGCACCCCAGGATAGCGAAACCCGCACGCTCCTGGGCGGGGTGGTGGAATCGGGCCCCCATCGGCGATGAATGTGCGAGTGGGGGTCGGCGCGTCCCCCCTTGAGCTCGGGGGCGTCCAAGAGTGGGGGTGCCCATGAGGAAGGGTTGCAAATCATGGCCTGAGGCATGTGCGCGGACCAGAAGGGCGCCAGGGGTCGCATTGAAATAAGAAGGGGGGCCAGGAAATCTGGGGAGGTATAATCGCCCCCGCCATGAGATCCACCACCACCCATAGTCAACACCCCCTCTTGGCCGCCCACGATGAGCCTACCCCCCCCCCCTAGCGACGCCTCTGAATGGCCCCCTCCCTTGAGATGCGGCTCACTCTGCGCACGTCCCCCCCCCTGGCCCCCTGGCCCTTCCTCGTTGAGTTCGGTCGTCATGTCGGCCTCGCGTTTCTGCCTCCGTGCACGGGTCGCTGCGGGCGGCTGAGCAAGGCCACGGCTAAGCGCCAGGACCCGGACAGAGCCGGACCGGGAGCGAGCAAGGGCAGGCGCAGAAAACATGAAGATGAAGAGGTATAAGACACAAAACCATAAACTATCACTTGTGGCACTCCGCGCGGATGTCTTGGATCTGCGCCGCAGCGCAAGGAAAAAATGTGAATGGCGTGTTTTCTTCTTCGAAGAGGGCCCCATCGCCACCCCCCCTGGCTTCGGGCGCGCGCTGACATGGATTACAGCAGGAGCTCGACCACAGGAAACCTGCCACAAGAAATCCACAAGCCTGAGACCCCCGGACGTCCATGGATTTTTGGTGTGGGAACGTCACGCCCTACATAGCAGAACCATCGAAACCCGAGAAACCCAGGGCACCCTGGAGGCGAGCAGGGTGTTTCTTGACATGGGCTTCCACTGTACGGGTCCGTGGATCTGGCGCGTGGGCGCCGGGTCAACGGATCGGGAAGGTCCCCCCTGGAAGCAGGAGGCCAATACCGCCCGATTTGGCGGTGGAGCGCGTCGATGCGAATCCACACGCCCTTGCTCCTCGAAGGACGGAGTCCTCCCATTCCCTCCTCCTCTTCCTCTTCCTCTTCCCCCTGCAGTGTTCACACTCGCTCTTACACGCTGATCAGATGTTCACGCTTGATGATTGGAGTTGTCAGGGTGCGGACGAGGCTCGGTTGCACGACATCAGTGTGGACTTCCAATGCGTTGGTATAACGGCAGTCGCCAGCACTGAAGAACGAGCAACAACAGCTCGCTCCACGAGCCTGTCGAATCTTGGCGGGTACTTGGCGTGCAAACGCGTGGCCAAGTCATGCGGGGTCACTCTCTTGTGGTGGAAAAGAATGTTCCAGCGCAACGACGTGTTCGACTCGCCGACGGTTCCCGCGAAGCTTCAAGACCGTGTTGCTGTGTTTCGGCTGCGCTCAGGACGCTTGCATTTGATCATTTTCCACACTCGACCTGTCGCCGAGAAGAGCGCGAATCACACGCTCAGACCGCTCTGGACCACTGGCCCACCGTCGGCACCATGTGCAAGTGGCTGGAGAAGGTGCCGACGAAGTCCGAGCGACGCTCGTCGTTGCTGTGGGGCTGCGCCTTGAATGACTCTTCCGGCCGGCAGCGGAGAGCGAGCGGAGCACAAGGACCTTTCGCCTGCGATGAACAGCGCTACGCGGCCGCCCAGGTTCTGGAGCTGACGGCGCGCCAAGCCGTTGTGGCCGACACGACCTGCTAGAACGTGGGGGCTACGTATTGCATCTCGCCTCGCCTAGCAAGTCCCGTCCGTCGCCAACTGTGGAGCTCTTCGTCGTTCCAAGACACACGTCTGAAATTAGCAGGCGAGGCTGGACTGCAAGACCATGTAGATACCTCTTCTGCCCAAACTTGAATACAGTTCCGATTTCAGCTCGTCGGGACCATGCCAGCACACGACGGGAGTTCGATCCTCTGCCCAGCGCCCTAACCTTTATCAAAGATCTTAAACAGAGAACAGAAAACCGACCCCCATAACAAGCATCCCGACAAACGAAGCCGTTTAGTAAAAGCACCCAGCGAAGGAATCCCAGAGGACAGGGCTGTTTAGTAAAAGCCAAAGGCCGCCTGGTAAGCGCCAACTATCGGGGTCGGGGTGGTCTTTTCTCCCTTGATTGAAGCCCGGCTCCGTGATGCCCCTGATGTTCACGACCTTCTCTTGCATGCGGTGGCTCCCGATGAGGCGTGGGCGAAATGGGCTACCTTGGTCTACCCAATAGCTGGGACGCCACATTTCGCTCGCCGATGCGCCGTGGACCCGGAGGTCCGGCAATATACTCAACTCCGCAGTCAGCTTCTGCACGATAGACGGCAGCCTTGTGAAGATGGCGCGGGAGATCCGACGTCGCCCATGCTTCTCGCCTGCTGTTCCAAGCGTTTACACCTGCTTCAACGTGGACGCCAGGGAGAACTGACGAGCTCGTGCCGATGAGGCGTGGGCGAAGTGGGCTACCTTGGTCTACCCGACCGCTGGGACGCCACACTTCGCTCGCAGCTGCGCCGTGGACCCGAAGGTCCAGCAGTGTCCTCAGCTCCGCAGTCAGCTTCTGCTTGATAGACGGCGGGCGTGCGAAGGATGCGCGGGAGCTCTGGCGTCGCCCGTGCTTCTCGCCTGCTGCTCCCAACGTGTACACCAGCTTCGACGTGGACACCAGGAACAAAGTGACGGAGCAGCTCGTGGGCGAGATCGGCGACGCCCAGGAGAGTCGGAGCTACGCTGAAGTCTGGCCTCTCGCCCATGCCTTGGCGGGTGAGCGCAGTGGTCCGAAGCGTCGTCGATGCGATGCTGCGGAGTCTTGTGCCCCTCGCATGGCCGAGCCTCGTGCCTACTCCCAGGATCCTGGACATGCTGGTGGCCTCTCGTCGGTCCCCGCAGACTTCGACACTCACCAGCAGCACTTACTGGAAGACCTCCCGCAGCCACCGACATGTGGCAGCGATGAATTTCTTCATGACGACAAAGACTGCGACGACCTTGCGGCTGTGGCGGAGCGGGTCGCCGGAGCCACACGTCGGGGGACAGCTCCCTGGCACTCCATCCCACCTGACCTGATCATGGTGCTTGATCCGGTGCGGAGGTTCGACGGCTCGTGCCGCAAACCACGCCGGAAGAGAATTGACGACGACGAAAGCGACGGCGAGGCAGCAGATAGCAAAGGGCAGCGGGTCGAGTTCGTTCCACACCACAGGCTTGCAAGCGACCTTGGTTGGATCGGAACGGAGCCGGTCCCGATCGCCAACGAATTCTGTCTCAGAGTACGGAATAGCTCATCACATTCGACGGGCTCGGCACACCCCTCATTGCTTGGCATCGCTTCGAGAACGACTGAGGCTGGATACGCGGAGTGGTAAAGCAGGTCTCGCGGCGAGGCGCCACGCCCACGGCCTGTGTCGCATGGGCGCGCTGCGCTTCCAAGGCTAAGCTTCGTCGAGGGCCTGCTGATCACGCTCCTGATCGAGAGCACGGTTATCATCATGGCAGGAATCGCGAGGGGGCGCTCACTTGTCAGGAGATTTTGATGTGGCGCCTTCGAGAGCGTGGCATCTCGTCGGTCACGTCCAAGCAGGATATGGCAAACGCCTTCGGTTGTGGACTTTCTCGTCGCCTCGCAGTACGGTGGAGGCGCCCATTCAGGATGACGACCAGCGTTACTTCTACCATCGGCACGAATCCAGCACCTTCACGATCAGAGGCGCTGACGGCGAATAAACGACGGTCCTGCGGCACTGTTCTTTGCTCGCGCATTCAACAGGCCAAGAACTACAGGCACAGTTGGACCCACTGCTGGCGAGAACGTGGCATGGAGAGCTTCCTTCGAGGCATTCAGGCTTACCTGGCTGGAGCAGGAGCTGGTTGCACCGTCGCCGCCTGCTGATCCCGACCGCCGTTTGTGGCCGAGCGAGTTTTTGCGTTCAGCTTTGGCCCCGATCCTCCAGCGCCCGGTGGACCTGTCGTACCGTATCTACGCCGACGGTACCAGCAAGACACACGTAGTCACTTTTGCCAAGAGAACGCGCAGCTCACGCAAGCATGCGCACGCCGACTTCAAGCACTCTTTGTCTGCTGATGGATGATCTCTCAATGCTGAGAAAGGCAGTGCCTCTCTCTCTCCTTCGTCGGTGAGGGCGCTTGCGTGAATGTTGCTGCCGTGAATGGGGGTGCGGTGCAGCTTCCTGGCCAGGTGCAGTTTGACAGCATTGCGTTTGGTATTCAAGCCGCTGTCAGCGGGGGGTGTCCAGAGCGAGCTGAGGAGGCGCATCCTAGCCCGTAAGGGGGGCTACACATCCATGTGCAAGTGCTGGCCAAAAAATCGAATGTGAAGGTTGACGAGGACTGTCTTGAGAACCGTGGTCAGCGCGCGTTTCCACAAGGCACCGCGTCGCTCTGGATTCTGCGTTTCGGAACGGGAAACTCCTGCCTCAAATTCACGTTAGTTTCCCCTTCACAGCGCGGTTTTCCAAACCACGGCGCGCCACTCCAGAAAACACGCGCCGGGGGGGACATCTCCGCGAAAAAATCGCGAGCGGTTCCCCCTCCGAGCGCGCGTGTCCAAAAGATCCCGCGTCGCTCTGGCTTCCTTGGGCAGGGACCGACCGTCCAGGCTTTCCTGTAGGCCTACCACGACATGCTTGTTCTTAGAACCCAAAAATGTTCTAAAAACAGAAACAATGCTCTTAGAACAAAAACCCGATGTGCCGAACTCAGACGGTCTCAGCCGGAAATGTTCTGAGCATGTCTTGCCAGAAGCACAAAAAATGATTAAAACTGATTCGGTGGGCCCATAGGCCAGCCAAGACGCCCCGCCACTGCTTGAATTCCGCGCGCAGGACGGAGAAACGCCGGCGAAAAATTCGCTAGCGTTGCCTCCGCGCTGACGCCCGCGCGTCCTGGGCCCCGCCCCCGGCCTCGGCCCCCGGCACAGATTTCGACGGAGGCCCAGCAGCAACGTCTCGACCGTGTATCTGTGGGCGTTCCTCGGAAGCTTCTGGGAGGAGGTGCGTGTCAGAAGGTGGAGGAGCCTTGGCCATGGCCACGAACAAGGAGCCCACAAAGACCGCACGCGCCCAACCATGTACATGAACAAGGCCCCTAGATCCGCGAGACTGGCCACACCTTACGAGCGTTCACGCAATGGGTACTCGCGAAACCAACGTGGACTCATGTACGTGTACGTTCTTCTTTCGTTCTGGATGCCATGATTCAAAGAGGCTGACGAAATCAAGGCTGGAGCCTTGAGCTCTTCAGCAGATCCGCTAGATGAAGAAGGCAATCCCGTTATGGATGGGCATGGTAAGCCTGCATAACGTGATCGTGCTCTGTCTGATGGACTCGTCGTGTGTCGAATTGCTGTGGCACCGTCTAGCGTTAAATGGCAAATTGGCAGATTGAGGCAAACCTCCCGGTGGATTCCGCGTCCTGAG